CTAATGTTAGGCTCAGTTGTCCTTAAAATTGCACTTTCCCTCCAATAAAAAGCTGATTACAGTCTTTCAAGCAGCAGACAGACAGAAGTTACATCCACCCATAACGGACTCCTTTCACAAAATGTTACAGACTTTTCTAGCGTAAAAGAAGGTGGACACTTCTCAGTCAGCATTGCCAGGTGAGGTAAACAGTAGGTTGATGGCCTTCCACAGATTGGGAAAAGCTCAGGAGCAAATCGGGATCTGGAACAGTCAATAGTAGAAACAATCTAAATCTTCTTTAAATGAATGTTTTTGATCTCTGTTTGTTGGCTAAAATGTGTTTTACATACTGTAACTGTACATTTGTGAACTAAAATAATGAATAGTAATATGTAAATTGTTTACATCTTATATGCATTATTTTTTACCTATCAACAGTTTTGTTAAAAAAAAACTCCACTAGCATACACAAATTGCATAAAAACAATAGCAAAATATCCACCTTACTAGTAACTAAATTTAGCTCGTTTTTTTTTAATGTCCTTTGGTAATACTGCTTATGAAAAGGCATAAGCAACAAATATAGCTACTCTTTAGATTTATCATGGGAAAACATCTCACTTTCAAACATTTGGCAGTAGACTCGTTACCAGACCTGATTCATACATATTTTGACTTATTGCTTGTTCCTTTCAAATAGTTCTGATCAGCAATCCCTCCCCCTGCACTGCTGATCTTGTGTCTCTGTACTGCACACAAAGGCTTAGAGGCTTCATCACTGTGGGGCAGAGTAAGCCAGCAGGAGAAATGAGAGAGTGCCTGCTGCTGAGCTCTGCTTCTATTTGCTCTTGATCGGTTCAGCAATTTTATTCATATGCAAATGAGCCCATGACATCATCAAGTCATGTTTGAGCACCGAGTACCTACTTTCCTTGGGTGATAGTTGGCACCACTGAATACAGATGCCTTGCTGTTGTCAGCATGTATGCAGTGCAGTGCTGTGGTTGTATTTAACTGTAAATACTGTAATCCAGGCTCCAATGACCGGTGAAAAAATTCAAATTGCCTGAAGGCACTGTAACACAGTCTCATCTCCATATTTTTTTTTCCAATCTTTCCCTCTTGCATGACTCTCAAATGCTCTTTTTTTTCTATCTTGCTGTCATCTCGGGTTGTGTGGTGCCACTGCACTTAACATCGAAAAGGGAAAACATTTCAGCAATAGCATTTGTTTTTATACAAATACAGTTACACCCCTTTGACTTTCTCATGTTATACCCATAAATGTCTGTCTGTTGCACCACACAGCAGCGTTGCCACAAAGCCTATTCAACATTACCCGTCCAAGCTTCAGTACTATAGTATGAAAACATTGGCACTCATTTTTCATAAGCTTTAGTTCTGGTGACATAACTACTGCACACGGTACGACGTCGCAGATGCAAAAATGCTTGTTTGTTTTTTACTTAAATTGTTTTCCCTACATTATATAATTAAGCAAAAATCCAACTTAAAACCATGATAAAGAGTGTTAATGTTTCTTTACCTCACCCTATTTGAAATCCTCTTATGAAGGAACACTGTTTAGCAGTCGTGCACCACTTCGTCTTGCTAATCATCCTCAACAAAGGGATAAAAGACATTATGAATATTTAATCAAGAATTTAGAAGCCAGTCCTGACAGTAAACATAATTGAATGAATCACATTTGCCTTTTGTTGGTGTTCAAAAGGAAAATGTGATTCATTTCACTGAAACATTCAGGACTGTTTAAATTGGCTGCCACATACATGAAATATAAAGTCCATACCTTTCTCTCCAGTGAGCTTCCATTGAATTATGAACACTTTGGCTGTGTAGAAACACTGAGTTTGGTTTTGGGAAAATGGATTATAATAACTTATATTATATTTATTCAGACACACTATCAATAGCTATGCAGATTTTCTAAATGTAATGGTGTTACGGTGCATTGTGTTTTCACAAAACCATGTGGAACGCAAAGGCAGATTGATAACAGCTGTGAAGCATGCAAAACATTTCCACAAGGCAGCAACTTTGTATTATATTTTCCCTCTCCAGAAATGTTTAATTGTATTATTTCATTTAAAGCACAAATGGGCTGTAGCACTCCAAAGCAGACAAATGCTGGCAAGACAAAAAGCCACTGCTGAAATGCCCCTTGCTGCCATATAAATTCACAAAGGGGAGTGTGCAGGGGGGATGCTGTGTCATTTTTCATTTGGGGAGGACATGTTTGTTGCTGGCTTGGCTTTTGATGTTGGGAAGTTTTCCTTTGGGGATGTTTAGGGCAATACTGCTGCGATTAAATTTGAGAGTGGCAGACTCCAAACGTTCCCCTGGTCATTTGTGAGGTGTGTATGCTTTTAGCCGAATCCCGTACTACTTGCCATTCACCGTTGGAGCAATTTCCATTTACACTCAGTCAAAGATCAACAAGGATGACACACAGCATTCTGCAGCATCACATTTCTTACCTTGTCAGAGGTGAACTCTGAGTCCCTGGCAGACATGATTATTTAAATTTATGCTGCTTTTGTTGGTGCTTTTTTCTCTTCAGTCAAAGGAATGGGAGTAGTGTCTCAAGTATGATTCAGGCTTACTGAAAAATATTCTTTTTTTGTCTGACTGAGGATCCTGTGTCTAGCACCTTCTGAGTTTTGATGTTCATGTTGATGTTTTTTACTGTTGAAAATGCACCAAATTTTCAGTTTCTGTAGAAGCAGTGCATGAATATCTCGTCATCACGTCTTTTCTTACAACCTTTGTTTGAAAGGATGAAAATGTCAGCGTTCTGCTTGATCACAGATAGTAAAGGTTCTCAAAAAAAACTTGCCTTTAGTCTTCTTTGGTGATGCCATAGGGTAGTGTTGCAGGTTGTTTTAATTCTGTCTTGAGTTGCTTTGATTTCAAAAGAAATGTACATCTGTATTTACACTTTATTAGGTACACCTTGACAATACTGGGTTGGACCCTCCTTTTCCCTTTAAAACTGTCCTAATTCATGTCCTAATTCTTCATGGCATAGATTCAGCAAGTGGCTGGAAACAATCCTCAAGACTTTTGGTCTTGGCATGAGAGCATCACACAGATGCTGCAGATGCAAATCTTTTGCTCCACCACATCACAAAGGTGCTCTGTTGGATTGAGATCTTGTGATTGTGGAGGCCATTTGAGCAAAGTGAACCCTTTTTCTCGTTCAAGAAACCAGTTTCAGATGATTTGGGCTTTTTGACATGGCACCGTGTCCTGCTGAAAGCAGCAATCAGAAGGCGTGCACTCTGTGGCCATAAAGGGATTGGCATGGTTGGTAATCAGGGCTCGCAAAATTTTAAAATCTCTGGTAGCCCTTCGGGCAGGCATTCTTCCATTTTTGGTAGCCCAAAATAAATTTAAGTAGCCCGAATAAAAAATAAAGCAATTTTTTTATGTTTTGTTTCCGTTGCAATATTATACATTAAAGTATAATATTGTGACGAAATATTGTTACAAGAGAAACAAAATTAATCTCTCACCTCCAAAATTAATCAAAAAAAATTGTTAAAATACAAATCACAACAACTGTATAAAAATTACAAACATCAACTCAAATACTTGGTTCAAATTGAACAGAAATTTCTATGAACTTGTAAGAACTGTGTAGAACATGAATCAGTCTGTGTCAGATCCTGAATTTGAAATTTCCACTGAAGTCACGGGTAAGAAGTAAGTGGAACCAAGATCTAGGCCATTTGCTTTTTGAAGTTTGCAAAGACTGCTAAATTTTACCAATGGTAGTTCACTCTTTGCAACATAGCACGCTGTTCTAAACAGCTTTTTTAGGAGTTCTTGTTGTGCTTGGTTTATTTTTAGTATGTTTTTTGCAATTGCTGTTTGTTCTGGGAAAGATACTGCAGACTGGGCAATAATGCATTTCTTGCATTTCTCA